CAGGAAGGATACTTTAGACTCTCTAACTCTCTTTTACCATAAAGGTCTTTAGTGTTATCCTGGAAACCTCCAGGAAAGAATACAGTCAGTATCCAGAGCCCAAATAATCAGCAAACCACGTCCCCTCAGAAACAAATCTCATGAAATCGTCTCTGAAATCACAGACCACATACATACCATGCAGGCCAGTAACAAAAGGAAGATCTCACAGAGAAGAGAAACAAGAACCAGAGCACCCTATATCACAACCAAGTGGACCATTACTAAATCTAAAACTAATTAGCACCTCATAAAACCAGGGTAAACGAAGGACCTTAGAGAATCTATGCATGAAGTCAGTAGAATTCACAAAGAATAGAGAAAAACTCTGGGGTTTCTCATTCAACAACCAAGAAAACCTTGTGTGAACCATCACTTTGTAACTAACCTAGAGTACACCCCATACCAAGGAACTAAACATGAACTTTATAAAGAGGAGTATAAAAACAGAGCACTATACCTCCACCCACTTCTGGCACTGAATAGCAAGATGAGTGGAAAGGGAAGCTTCAGATAAAATTTGAGCAGGAAAGGACACAGATTCATGAAGGGTCACAAAAGAGCTATTAATACTGTAATTTCTTGCAAAAACCGAGACCTATTTTGTAAGTAGCAATGACTGAAAATAGTATAAGCTTGAAATACCTTCAAAAAAAGACTGGACAAGCACTAAGCATGTTAAGATATCATGTCTGGCCAGAGCCTATATTATATTTTGTGTACCTGTACTATGACTGAGCAGGGAAGTAGATGACAAACTGCATATACTATACATGTAAAGCTTTTGTCAAGAATAAAACTAATATAAAAGTAATAAAAAAAATTCACATTCTTTTATTAATTATATGACCAATAAAAAAAAATAGAGGTGTGTCTGTTGGCAATGTTTAGCCAAATAAAGTACAGTATACAGCTAGTGTGTCAGAGGAGCATAGCTGCATTTAAAATCATCAAACCTAGACAATACATGCATCTATATGATGGTTACCAACTGTCCAACCAACTAAGAAGCTGACAAATGGGTAATTGATTTAAGTATGGAAGGACCATATTCCATTTTTAAAGTCAATCCAATGGAAAACAGGACTGGTCATGGCACTAGAGTACAGTACAGTATAGTCTCGATTAACGCGGTCAATTAAACGCGTAAAACGAGAAACTCGTAAACGAAATAACAGAACATATGGGATAAATTGATACAGAGACTGGGCCGACCCCCAAACTACACTTTTTCCGACACAATCTGTACGTTGTAGTAAAAATAACATCCTAATTTTATGATGGTATGCACACACAATTAATATTTACGAGAAATATCAATAATATTAGGTTTTTTAACACTTACGTTAGTAGAAGAGATGGATGGGTACACGGGGATGGGGGGGTTGGTTCTGAGGCAGAGGGCAGATTATTGGTCCTCACCTGTATCACTATCCACCACAGAGGCTTGCAGGGCCTCTTTGTCAAACCCCTTAAAGTCCATATCCTCACTATCACTATCACAGACTTGGGCCGGCTGTGGTGGGTGGCGGGTGAAGAACTCGGTAATGTTTTGTTAAATGGGCGACCTTGTGCTCACCCTGCCCGCGCCGCTTCCCGTGTAAATGATGGAAAATACTGCGTAAATAAAAATTGTCGGTCCAGCAAGGTGCCCCGTAAACGAAATCCGCGTAAATCGAGACTATACTGTATATGAAGTTCTCTGATGATGTATTATATATTACTTATCTAAGTCCAAGGTTCATCGAAGTCCTGGCCCTAATATTGTGCATCCCAGTGATATGAGAATTGTGTAATGAGCTCTCTCAAAACTCGTTAAAATTTTCTTCTGCAAATGCATGGACGAACAAAAGATCCCCAAATACTGGAAGTTAGCCCATGTAAGTTTTATATTAAAAAAGGGGGACAATCGACACTGTGCCAGTGAGTTTGACCAGCATTGCGTAAAATACTAGAAAGCATTATATGCAATAGAGTGAAGGGCCAATCAACAGTAGAACAGCCTTGTGAAGGAGTGCCCAGACACTCCTGCTTGACACAGCTGCTGGATGTGTGGTCACAGATTCATGAATGTGGTGGCAATACAAACAATACATTACAGTACAGTACTTGACTTTGCCAAGGAATTTGAAAGTGTACCTCATGATAGGCTAAAAATAAAATTAAACAGCCAGAAAATCTAGAGGAATGTCCTTGCATGGATTGGAGATTATCTTTATGAATAAAAACAGTGTGTGGTGATTAATGGCACAAAAATACCATATGTATCATTGATAAGTAGGGTGCCACAAGGCGACTGATGTTAATTGATCTTCCATAAAAATATTTGAAAATGACTAAGGTCTTCAGAGATATTATAAATCTCAATGACTGTTTAGGTGTCATTGGCTTCAGAAATGGTCAAAAGAAGGGATGCTGAGGTTCAATATTGTGAAATGCAAGAGGATGCACCTAGGATGTACCAATAGTAGGGAAGGATATCATGTGTCCCAAGATTATGAAGACACTACTGTATACTTACTGAAACTAAATATAAGAGAGACCTGGTTGTTTAAGTTGACAACAAACTGATAGTCACAGATCATTGTGAGATGAAGGTGAAACTTGCTAGTAAACTGGTGGGACTTATACAAAGAGCCTACACATACTTAGATGGTGTCTTTCATAAGGCTTTTCAAAATTATGTTGCTATTTCACTTGGAGTAATGTAATACTGTTTGGTCTATGGGGTACATCAAGGACTGTCAACTGATTGAGAATTTCCAAAGGAGAGCAATGAAACTGGTGCTATTACTCAGATGCCTCACTTACCAAGAGAAATTAAAACATTTTCAACTGCCTATATAAGTTAGCAGATGGCTGTCCCACTAGAGGTCACAACCTCAAGTTAATGTTTTTTGTTTTATCCTCTTCACCACTGATCGGCTTGTTAGCCACTCGGTCGGTCGGCCACATCTCTGTTATGCACTGTTGGCAAGCACTGAGCATGCACTGGCTCCTGAATGTATCTGAACCAGCTCCAGTGTTGGTCAAGTCTGGTCTTGAAAGACCTCATACTTGGTGCCATCACAACACACTCTGGCAGGCTGTTCCACAAGTTCACAATTCTCACTCCAAAAAAGTTTGCCCTCACAGTTTTCTGAACTTGTGACTTCTTTAAACTTGAGCTGTGACCCCTTTGGAGTAAGAGCTGTGAAAACTTTGAATTATTTGCCAGGAGATGTTGTAACAGCACCAAATGCAACTCCTTTAACCAGACTTGGCCAACACTGGTACATGTTCAGATACATTCACGAGCCTATACATGCCCAGAATTTGCCAATACAGGTAGTGCATAAAGAGAAGAGACCAATAACCCAACCAGCTAGAATGCTGACAAGTGACAAAGTGTATAAGGTAAAGTTAATTATGGTACTAAATGTCAATACAGTATACCCCGGTACTATTTGGGATGTACAGATGGACATAAAAGTGGACTAGATAAACACCCAGACAAGACACAAATATGTACATGTTGATAAGACTGTTTTCCAAGTCTGAAGTCAATACAACTGACAATGAAGATGAATCACGTTAACTGATGGGTGTACGGAAGATCACAGTACAGGGATAACACTACAGTACTTACCCCTCCTTTATGGGGGAATAAAAAAAGAAATAAAATTAACTGTTTTCCACAAAAGAGACTACCAGCACTACATAGTACAGTACAGTATGTTTATGCAACATCAAGCAAAAATTACAGATCCAATTTTCTATTTTTTATATTCTGGACATCTGACCTTAAAATATTCTAGTATTTATTGTATATCCCTCAAAATTATAATACTCCTAAATAAATGGGATGGAAGAGGTGTACTAGTTCTTAAAATAAAAGCACTGTACTGTAGCATATTAGAGAGAGGGGGGAGAAAATTTCTTTGCTAAATCAGTGAACCCTTTAAGCACAAATACAGTTACAGTACAACTCTTTTGACCTTCAGGGGCTAGTGGAAGGTAAATTGCTTTTCATCTGACTTGGATGAATTAATTAATTCATAACATCTGCATGCTAACATCTGTTTTACAGATCAACAAAAAGCAACAGAAGAAAAAATGTGAGTAATATTTGACTTCGACATTAAGAAATAGCACTTAATTAAACCTGGAGAATAAAATAAGTGTGTGATAAAATAAGAAAGAGCAAAATCAATACACATCCCTCCAGGAGACCAAATACAGTAAACCCACTGAAGATGAACTTCATTGACCGTTACATTCTCATTTTCTCCAAATGTTTTTCCATATTTATATTTATCTTTAACATCCAACTTTTTTCCTTCTGGAGTACTCTTCTCCTTACCCGGTACAGTAATCCTTAAAATAACCTTTAACTTTTCCTGGCAGCTAAAATGGCCTACTTGATGGGTGAATGTGGTACAATTACTAGTAAATGTGCAATGTCAGATAGAGCCAAAGATACAGTATAGAGTTTGGGGTCCTAAGGCAGGTTAGAAGAAAAACATCTTCAGTTGGTTTGGATATACATAAAAAGTAAAAATAAACTAATATAAAAAAAGATTACACAAATAGGAAGTTTTTTAAAAAGAACAAGAGGTATTAAACAGGATAGACAGGCATGATTTGCTTAAGAAAAAGTGGGCCTCATGGGCCTGAAGACCAATTAAAAATGATACTCTGATAAGGCAGCCTCAAGGCTTTTTTTGTTGTGACCATCCCCTCAGGGAGGTTCTGTAAGGGAATAAGGCATCACAGTTATAGATAGATACAAGCAAATTTAATGTTGCTAATTCATAGCTTTGGCAACAATACTGCTATACTTCTTTCAGTGTTACTAAATGTCTCCATTCCTCATTTACAGTTGGAATAGTACTATAAAATTATAAAGTAATAGCCTAAGTGTCTTATGGTCAAAATATTTATTAGTCCATTAGAACTCCCTCCTAGTGTTCTGGTGTTACCTGCTTCAACCAAGTGATCAAGGGTAGGGAACCGCTTCTTGACAGTGGGACTAATCATGATAAACGTGAGGAGTTCAGTTAGATTGACGTAGCGCATGACAGTTCTCCGCATCAGACGTGATCGCTCATCCTGCAATTACTTCACCTATTACACACTTGCTCACAATTATTTGGCATTTTTATCATCCTCATTTAAGTGGAGGATTATGAAATCCTGCTTTATAACTGAGTCAGGATAGATCAATTGTACAGTCAGCAAGCCTAGTGGTCAAAACCACATGCCCCAACTTGTGACTGGAATCTAAAAAATTAAAACAAAATTATAATTACTGTACAGTATATTTTACCTTCATAGTGGGCCCCTATAAGATAGCCACTTAACAAGAAGGTATTGTGATACAGTACTTATGTTACCCGACACCTTTAGGTTAAGAGTATCTCAAAACCAGATGGGAGATTCTCTGGTAATAATATTCTGACTAAAGTAACATTGGAATAATAAAAATGAAGCAAGCAAACTTAAGCTCTATGTTATGGCTGTACACATATGTGTTTAGGGTGAAGAAAATAGATAGGGTATTGGAAAAAATAAACTTTGCACAATATACAGTATTAATACTACTGTATTGGAAATAATATTGGATATCCAATTTCTTCTGTTTTTATATTTACAGTACCAATGTGATTGTGTTGATTATATTATTGTATAAGCATAATGTTTATTCAATAAAAATTTAATGGAAGAGATATTGACATCACATGTTACAGTGTACTATACAGGTCCTTATGATATGGTCAGCTGTACCTATAGATACATGTTGAATATCATCAAAGGCAGAAAGATTTCACAGCTAGATTCAGAATTTCTAAAGTTGTAAGCAAATACAACTTTAATATTTACAGTAAATCCTTATAATTATTACCAGTATATTTCATGCACTGAAATTGTACTTATCAATCACAAGGTGTGAATCTTCATCATACTGGCAGGCTCTTTTCTGTGTAAGGTTGGAAGACGTGTGGAAGGGTGCACAGCGGTTTCAAGACAGAATTGATCAACACTGGAGCAGGTTCAAATACATTCAGAAGCCAGTGCATGCCCAGTACTTGCCAACAGTGCATAACAGACACATAACCGACCGCCCAAGCAGCTAACGGGCCGATCAGTGGCGAAGAGGATAAAATTAAAAGCAAAAGTATACTGCATATTGTACTGTCTTCACTCCTCTTTCTATAAATACACCCGGCAGAAAGCAACTTCCGGACCTCAACATCACCATAACATGGGCATAGATCCTATGGGGATGAAGTTCAATCGAATCTCCTTTCATCATACCAATCATCTGGCATCACGTTAGACTAAATCATATCGGGTCAAGTGTCAAATCATGCCAAGACCAACTCGTACACATTTTTGGTTAGTGGTATAACATATAAATGGGCTGCTTGTCATCAGTGTATCAGGATTAGTGACCTATGTTAGGTGCAGGTAATTTATCTCTATATTAAGCCACCAACCCTGTAGTCAGTCAGTGTCAAGCTGTCAACATTTAAAAGGACTCACAAAGCTGAGAGGCTGTAGACATAATGCAATAGGAGTTATGACCTCACATCATAAGCACCCTGGCCCTGATAAGTGTGCATCCCAGAGTGCTATGAGTTGTGCAAAGGGCTTGCCTAGCTCCTTAAAATCCTGTATGGACCAGCAAAAGATCCTCAGTGACTGGAAAATGGCAGTACTAACTCTCTTATACCACATGTCTGTAGTATTGAGTTGGATACCAAGAGAAACGTTTAACCAAATACCCAATGCGTCTTGTATAGAAAGCAGTTTGCCCTTTAGTAAGGCTACCATCTGGAAATACAGCCCTTGAAGCAGTCCAAACTGTTCATGATGGACAAATTTAAGTCTACTAAAACTTAATTCCTGCACCAGTACCATTTTTTTTTAGATTTATATAATTTCCACCACTTATCAGCTTACTAACTGTACAGGCAGTCAGTCTGTTCTGTATTACAACCTTTCTTATCCAGTATTAATACAGGAGGAAACCAGAGTATCCAGAGAGAACCTGCCATGTTTGGTATGGTCACCCTTCTCACATCCAACACAGGGACTTGAACCTGCAACTGGAATGGTGAAAGGCAACTGTGCTACCATTGTACTACCAACAACCCAAACTGCTATACAGTACCACCAACAGTGCTTTTCAGGAATGGACCAAATACTCAGGCTCATTCAACATGTGGTTAAAAAATAGCCAGTATGACAGTCGTCCCAAATAAAGTGAATACACTAGGAAAGAAGCCAGGAAAATAAAACCCTGTTCCTCTCAGAGTTACAGCAGATGAAAATAGGTGGCAAATAATCCTAAATCCTTGTTGAGTCAGAAGTCCAGAACCAATCCTCAAGAATACTTTCAGGGTCCAGACTGCACTGCAGGGGGAGCACAAGAAACTCTTGACAATTCAGAAGGATAAATAATAGCTTATGGGTGATATGCAAGGAAAACTAACGGAGAATACAACTACAGTATAAGGAGCAAGATGAATATTCAAGTCAGAGCAATGAATCAACCAGCAAGTCCACATCCTCCCACAAAACTAAAGCATACAATATATAAATACTGCACACCAATACTGTATATGATTGACAACCTCAAATAGAAATATGGATGGAATAAATGGGTTGGTTGCCAATGTTATGGATTTGGATTCATTACACAGATCAGAGCTATTACCACATGCTAAATCAGCTTTAAGAATTACTTAAACAAACTTGGGACACTTTCCTCAAGAAACTAAATCATCTACAAATGCCTAGTTTAAACTACATACAGAAGGACAATAGGCTACTTAATATAGTTTCAAAAGCACCTCAAGGTCAGAGTCTCAAGTTAAAAAAGCTATCAGTACAGAAAACTGCCAGATACAACTCCTTTTGCATAAAAGTTTTAAATGTATGGAAAACCTGCTTTAGAATACTGTTCAGAATTGTGAAATCACCAAGTGTGAACTCACACAAGTTTAAGACTTCACAGACACTTACACACTTTCTGGTACATTCAAGAGTCTGTTTATGCCCAAAATTTGTCAACTGTGCATAGCACTGATTTGACTGTCCATCTAATTTTCCAGTAAGCTGACAGGTGGCAAAGAGGATAAAACAAAAACTAGTAGTGTGTACAGTCCCAAGATATGCTAGAGATTGTCATTTGATTGAAAATGTCCAAAGGAGGGCTACCAGACAGGTGCCCTCACTACAGAATTTCAGTTACCCAAAGAGATTGGAATGCCTGCAATTTATACTATAGGCAGGCCAGGGATGACTTAATAGAAGTCTAAAAGCACCTCCGAGGTCATTACTCAGTCGAGTGTTCACATCTGGAACTGGCAAATTCCCACCCCACTAAGGGTCACAGCTTAAGGTTGAAGAAGCCACAGTTCAGAAAATTGTCAAGGCAAACGTTTTAGGAGTGAGAGTTGTGGACAGTCTGCAAGCTCATTCAAGACCAGACTTGAACAACATGAATAATGGGATATATGAGTGAAAAAGTAAAAAATAATACAAAGAAATGCCTTTAAGATGCTTATTTGTCTAAATATTGGTAGCAACTCAGCAATGAAGCTCCACCGTGATATGTATAGCTAATACAGTATATTTCTGTCTTCTTACAATCTTTATGCAGCAATGTAGGCAACTATAGTTTCAAAATATACAGTACATATTACAAATATTATTTGAAAAAATAAGCAACGGTAAAAATATCTGAGAGACAGGTAAATTTCAAGCCATGGGCCATTGATTGGGAACCAATGGTATGAATTATTTCTATATTTTCAATTGAAACACACCAGATACCGAGATACTCAAATATAAACCTATACAGTACAGTGTGCACTCTGTAGTAACCCAATCATTTTGTTTGTTCTTGACACACATGCATACGGAAATAATATGAATAATCTTAACCAGAATGTGGAGTTTGGGGACTTGGAAGAAGATTTTGTGGTAAAGCTGATCAAGTCTGAAGAAGAGGAATGGCTTCCAGAGAATTGGGTAGGACTGGCACAGCTTGAGGAGGCAATCGAGCATAAAGAGGTTACCATACAAGAAAACCAGCTCATGATGAGGCTGGCTCTTTACCTTGTGTTTGTTGACCAAGTAATCAAGGAAGGGATTGATTTGGATCTCAACCTTAAGCAAAGTTTAAAGGTTGAAAGGATGATTCATTCAAATAAATTTATGTTTTTCAGTTAGTATACTGTACTGTTATCAGTATAAGCATGAAAACTTAATACAGTACATAATCACTGTCAAAAGGGGAACATTGGCTGTCTGTGATCGTAACCCATCTTTTACTGTTGAAACCTGTTCTCATTTACAGGTATACATTGTTTTTCTTATACTGTTCTGTACTGTAACTACTTTTTTTTTTACAAAAGCCCCCTGGGTAACCTTCAATTATTTGTAATTTAACGATTTGAATTTTGAGCATTCATGGTACTTACCCAAATTTATTCCTTTTCATTCTTTTAAGAAATTAATGACTGATTACATGTATTTGCCGGTTTTCTCTAGAGAATGAGAAAGAAGGCGAGACGAATAAAGAAAACTGTGGCAGTGCAGAGAAAAATTGGAGCCAAAAATAGTAGGATTACATTGTTCACACCTACCAAACATACACTCAGTGAACAACCAAACTTAATTGTGGATAGCCTCTTCTGCTACTCCACAAACCCCAAGATTCAGGCTCACGAATCCAAAGCATCCGAGGACAGATTAATGCATGTGTAGTATAGGGCTTCATATATGCATAAGCTTGTATTAAATTAACTCTTGCCCTAGTTCAATATAAACTAAGTACAGGTTGTACCTCTCTAGTCCGGCATTCTGTGGTCCGGGAACTCCGGTGGTCCGGAACGATTTTAGTTTGTCCAATAGGTAGATAGGCAGCTTTTTTTTTCTTTTTTTTTTTTTTTACTTATCTGAATTATTATTATTATTACAGGAGTATTAAATTTTTGCCCCTCAGGCCCCAATGTGGGTCAGTGACCTATGCCCGGGTGGGCTAATCCCCGTAAAAAACAACAACAACAACAAAGCCGCGGGAAATTAAGGTTTGTTTA